TCACTATACTTCCCTACCCCCTTCCTATCATTCCATATTTATAGGAGAGGAGAGCCAAAGTGTTAGTTGTCTATCTGATATGGGATATGTGGTTCACCATTTTAACTTCTTAACTGATGTGAGACCTTTGTAACTTTAAACTTCGTAATCGATGTGGCATTTTTTTCACTTCAATCTCCCATTCTAGAGACTTTCATATTTATCCAGACTATTCGCAGCACTTTATCCTTCTTCGAAGTGTGTTCGTACCAGACTTGGGCTCCATTCTAATTGTTTTGGGCCGCTTTAGGCCCACCTATACCCTTAAGGCCCAAAATCACACTCCATGCACATGCATTCTCTTTCAATAACCATAACTCCTTTGATTCTTCTGAGTTTTCGGTTTATTTTAATTTTTCTTGTTCATTGTCGTTTCAACTACTTAAAAAAAAAATTAGACTCAAAATGACTATATTGACCCACCTAAGGTTCACCTAAGTCCCATAAGATCTAAACTGCACATAAAGTTAGGCCCATGCCCATACCCTTATTTCAAAACTCCATAACTTACTCAATTCTTAATCTTTTTTAGCAAACTTATGCTTTGTGTGTTCCTCAAGCAAAGAACTATCACTTGGTTTTAGTTTGAGCTTCATTCGAGTCAAATTGGTCCACTTATGGCCTAATCAAGCTTAAAAGTCCAAAACTATTTTCCATGTGCATGCCTCTTGGGTTTGGTCTTATTTCTCCCAAATTTTCTTCTATGGAAACTTTTTTTTCTACCCACTTCTTCTTTATTTCTCAGCCAAATTTGAGTCTCAAATTTTGTGTATTTTGATCTTAGGACACAAATCAAACCAAAAGGCTCAATTAGGGCTCCTTAGGGAATTTCCTTCCTCACATGGGGATTTCTCTCTCGATTTTTCACCCAATTATTTTATTATGTTCCTAAAGTATTTCCTTGCCTTTTACAATATCATCCTAGTCTCGAAAAGTATTCTTGGGTCTAGAAATCTCAGTTGAGGAAAAACTCTTCTAAAGAAATTTTGATTATTCAAATTTCATTATTTTCACTCCATTTTACTTGAAACTTGGTATTTGAATCCAAATTATGTTGCTAATTACATGCATACACACAATCATAGATATCACCTACTCGAAACAAGCTCAGGGAATAGTCAGGTTATCATAGTAAAGATAGATGAGGTAGGAGCTAAGAAGGAGATCCTGAAGGATTATGAGCAACTTTTAGGTCAAGTTATAAATCAACAAAAATCAACAATCTCTTTCTTGAAAGGGACAAGTATAACACAAAGGTGGGTAATTTTTGAATTACTAGAAGTGCAATGGAGAGAAACTCATGCTTAATACTTGGGTTTACCCGTGATGATAGATAAATCAATAACAACTACCTTTAACTCCCTTGTGGATAGGGTGACAAAGCATATTCAGAGCTAGAACATGAAAAGATTATTAAGAGTAGGAAGATGAGATGTTCAAAACAAGTGCACAACCATTCC